CCAAATTTCAATGGCACATTAAAGATTATTCATATTCACATGAATGTGCTTCGCCACCTGTTGTCAGCTGGTATACTTTACATTTCTCTATTTAAAAAGATTATTTATTATTATTTATTATATATTATTATTTATGAACAAGCAGACATGTGTACGATTTATATGATTTTGGATGCTTTATTCCAATTTGTGATATTTTTACAAAAATACACAAAATTATATAATGAATATATAAAATTATTATTTTTACGCTTATAGCTTTGTCGACTTCAATTCGTCCACAATCTCTTGCATGGATGGTCGCACGTTCGGTTCTTTATCCCAGCGCTTCTTTATCAATGTTTGAATGTTCATGGGGCACTCGCTTTTAGCCAAATCCGTTAGGGAGGGTCGTAGATCTACACGAATTATTGTCAATTATTATTATCGGACACTATGTGCGGAGATGTAACATACTTTTCATATCAATTTCTATTAAGAGATCTGCATTTCCTGTTACATCAACACCAGAATAAGGTACTTTACGCACAAAAACTTCCCACATTGAAATGCCCAGGCTATACACATCGCATTTATCAGAGTATTTGCAGCCATTGAAAACCTGAGCATTGTAAAAAAGTTCGGTAATGTGAACTAAACGATAATATAGAGATATTATATTTACCTCGGGTGCCATATATACGGCCGTTCCCCTTTTGTTTGTCATAAATGTTGCCACTTTTCGTACCATGCCAAAATCACAAATTTTCAAATTTTTTTGTTCAGCATCAAGCAACATATTCTGGGGCTTAACATCGCGATGAACTCCTATTTCTGATATCAGATAAGCCAGAGCCTAGAAATAAAGCATGATTCATTAGTGTATATACATATACATATGTATATATAAGTACCTCTGCCGCCTGAGTTAACCAGCGAACGCTATCAGTCAGTTCATATTTTTTATTTTTCTGCTGATGCAATAAATGCCACAGTGATCCACCAGCCATATATTCCATAACTAAGAAGCTTCTATCATTGTGATACGTAGTGCCATATAGTTTGATGATGTTCTTATGATTGGCCTTTGCCAGATTATGAGCCTCGTTTACAATTGCAATATTTGTCTGGATGTCCCCTATTATTGCTTTAACAGCTACTTTATTGCCTTTATACGTGGCCTCCCAGACTTCTCCAAAGCTCCCTTTTCCAAGTTCCTAAAAAAAAATGGTATGTGTTTTATATAAAATTAGTGATCCCTACATTTAAACTACTCACTCTTTTAAGGATAAGATCTCCATAATTGATTGACTCCATTTCGCTTTGAAATTCAAACGCAGACTGAGACTGTTGGTGGCAAATGCCAAACATTTATTGCAAATGTACACAGAACTCATGCAAGATAAGCACGTATGCGTATGCACGTATGCAATTACACTGAAAAAAAATATTTTTAATTAATTTTTTATTTTATGATGCCTTCCAAAAATTATATTTTGTGTTCGTCCGCCTAATTTGAAAACAAAAAATGATGAAAAAACACAAAAATCAGCTTCACATTTCTGTATACATTCTTTTGTCTGTGAAGAATCAAACCAATCACCGATTGTTTCAGTACTTGCAATCTTTTATAAACAAATAAATATGGCTATAAACAGATATATACCCTCCGCGAAATTCGATTAACGCCACTGGATTTTTTGCATTATAAAATTGAAAATAAAATTTGAAAACTTTTTTTTGCTCCACAAAAGGTAAGTGTTTTGAATATACGTCACATAAAAAATGAATTAAAAAGAACATTAACATAAAATTTGAACTAGGGAAATTCGATAAAAGGCAATGATAATAATAATAATTTAATATGTAGAAATGACATGAAAATAACATTTTAATAATGTGTTCAGCTTCCACATTGGTTTATAACTACAAAATTCGACTAAAAAATTCGAATCAACTACTTTTTACAACTCAGATAGTCGGATTTTTAGACCGTTCCTTAACGACAGCCTTCGTAGCTGCTCAACTGTCGATTACCAACTTAAACTTTAATCGGAAAACAACTGTTGACATGTTGGTCAAGCACAAGCAAAATGCATCGTAGCTCACATGGTAGTATCAAATCGTCGCTATCTTTGCGCTCCAGCGGCAAATCCTTTCAGGTCAAATTGGACAAAATGTCCGAGCATCTGTATGACATAGTCAAAAGTGGCTCAATGGTGAAACAGGCCCAAAACAAGAAGCGATTCACCCCAGTCAACTATAAACATCGCTGGTTCGAGCTGACAAAGCGAACGATCTGCTATTACGATGTGGAGAACGTGGAGGTGAGTCAATATTCCAATAAAATAAATAATAATAATAAATAAACAATTCCCCAACAATTCACGTAATAAACATCTGAAAAGTTAAGCATTAGCACACCTGTTGTGATAGGTCAGTAAGGTTACACTAAATATTTAATAATAAATACAATTACTTGTGGTTAATAAATGCACAAAAATTGCAAACAAATTACAATGCAAAATTTAACGTAAGAACCGGTATAAGCGCATTATAAATGCACACTGGCAGCAATTCAGCCATAAACATCGATATTTATAGCGTTAATCGATTGGCGCTTGCTGACATCGGACAATTTGTAATGAGCGAAAAGTTTTCACAAAATACGTGGCTTACGCATCGTATTTTCGCGCTAATTCTAAATAGTAATGTACTTCGCCAAATAGCCGTTAATTTAACAACACACAATATGTTGGCACTGTTGTTGCAATTGTTTTGTTATCTTGTCGCATTCATATTGGCCACCGTGTTGTTGGTATGTAAATGGCACAAAAACCGATAACTCTGCTTCTTATTTATTTTACTCGCAATTCTTGTTTTTAGATGGTGTTGGTTTTGTTATACAAAACAAAACCATATCCAATTATAACACGACACAAGGATGAAAAGTTCTATTTGGATCCGAAAACGATAAAAACAATTGAATTTCCTAGTTTGGATGAACCGCCCACCTTGGAGCTGAGCGTCATTGTGCCGACCTAGAATGAAGAGCAACGACGTGGGTATTATTTTTGTTGTTATTGTTTTTTTGAGTAATGATTAATCACATGATTATTGTGTAATATATGGCAGCAGCGATGCCACAGTTTCTATGGCCCTCAAATATTCCAAGCTGCATGGTGCGGATAAATTTCGTGTGTTGGAGCTTGTCCAGAATCGTGGCAAGGGCGGCGCTGTACGTCTGGGCATGCTCAGTGCCCGTGGCCGGCAATTACTCTTCGCCGATGCCGATGGTGCAACGAAATTTGCCGTCTATGATAAACTGGCAGAGACATTGACCAGTGTGGCGCCCGAATGGCGTCACGATGGCATCGCCATTGGTTCACGTGCTCATCTCGAGAATGAGTCAATTGCAAGGCGTAGCTTTTTTCGGTAAGTAAGTAAACCGGAATTAATTTGTTTCTATTTGCTCTCCCAGTTGTATTACGATTTATTAAGTAATTTTTATCACTTTTTATTCTATTCCAAAGCACAATTTTAATGCATGGCTTTCATACGCTTGTCTGGATATTTGCGGTGAGATCGGTGCGAGATACACAATGTGGCTTCAAGCTATTTACACGTGCAACCGCACGTAAACTATTCAATAGTTTGCACGTGCAACGTTGGGCCTTTGATGTGGAGCTGCTTTATCTGGCTGAACGTCTCCGTCTGCCCATGGTCGAGGTGGCTGTGCGCTGGACAGAGATAGACGGCTCCAAATTGTCGCCATTCTGGTCGTGGTTGCAAATGGGCATTGATCTCTTTATGATTTGGCTGCGTTATTTAATCGGCGCTTGGCGCTTATCTGCCAGTCAGAAGAATTAAAAAAAACGTCAGCGACGAATGCGCATTTAATTATTGTTTCCTACAAACTATAATTGTAAAACTTATTAAACTAAGTGCAGAGTATTCTAAAAAAAAAAAAAAACAAATTATTCCTTTCTGTTTCTAGAACTGTTTTCTATTCGATATAAATTTGTATATATTTTGCGCTGCGATCAATAAAATGGGAATCAACGCTGCAATTCGAAAAATGAGGCGGTCGCTCGATATCAATACAGTCGACACGATAGCAAATCGATAGCCGTTTTAAAGTTAAGTCGCGTCGGCGCGTTAGCAACTCGCAACACCCAGAACACCGCATTTATATTTAATAATACATATTGAGCAGTAAGCAATTTTAAGTGCTTATAAACAAGTGGACCATTCGTGTCCAGTCAAAGAGTGCCGGCTGCACTTGCTGCTCCTGCTGCTGTTCCCGCAATTAGCAAACGTCTAGGCCGCCTGTTGCGTCTCTGTGTGTGTGTGTGTGTGTTGGAAAGTTCTCAT